TCTGAGCAACATGACGGTGTTTCGTTCCCGAATGAATCAACCATTTAAATGATTCGGTTCAGTCGCAGTGACTCACTTATTAACAGTGACTTGCTGCCACCTGCTGGCGGTTTTAATTTCACATTTAAAGTGTCTTTTGATTTTTTAAATTATTTCAAATATCAGTATTCAATGTTTTATGTTTAATATATCAAAACATTATTTATGCATTTGTAACTGCAGGTTAAATGCATTCATGTTCTGCATTAAACAGTGTGTAAACACATCTAAATGCCACTTCAGGTGCAGCTTATGTCTGGATTGCAAAGATGAATTTTGTTGATACTGATTTCATTTGCTTGGTAACAGCCCAAATGTCTTATTCTTATTCACTGATTAAATGTAAGAATTTGACAAAAAAATTATCTTATAGAACTTATAGAAAAAAGTGGCTTTATAAAGGTAAAATGCCCATAAAAGGTAAAAATCTATTTAAACTTATCTGACCACCACACAGAATATGAAGAATATCAAAAACTTTAGGAGTCAGCTGTCCACGAAAGTCCTTAAGATAGCAGCATGATAACACCCTCAATCAGTTGAATGAATGACTCAATACTCACTCATTCAGTGACTTACCGTCACTTACTGGTAGTTTAGTTGAGAAGTATGTTGGAAAGTATGCATTTTGCCCTCAACATTTCTTATTTGTATGCATTTACAAATGCATTTTAAATGCATTTAAAACATTAATCTCGTAACATTATTTATTGCAGTTGTAATTATTGTTATTTGCAGTGTAAATTATTTAATCTGACTGGTAGCAGCCCTATAGTGTATATTGAATTTATTGATAAATTGTAATAATTTGACATGTAAGATGATGCATACATCTAAAAAGGTTAAAAATAGGCCTTTGTAAAGGTAAATATGCAGATTTAAGTATGTAAAAGCTGATAGAACACTGATGAAAATATTGCTTCAGAATAAATTGTTTACTCCACCAAAAATCTCAGTGATGCAGTTATTTTGTGGGGATATTTTGTATGGAATATTGTCTGCTGACATGAAAAGTTCATTGTATATCATAGTAATAAATACCATTTATTACAGCATTGATTTTTTTTTTCTTTTTAATTTATACACATTAAATATTACATATATGTATGTAATAAAATGTGTATTTCCATTACAGGTTTAGGTCTTAAATTTCATATAAGGTGGTATTAAAAAGGTCTTAAAAAGTCTTAAATTTAACTTGTTCAAGTCTGCAGAAACCCTGAATCTGGCAAGCGCAAACGTTAGTAAATCACGTTGCGTGATTCATTTGAATACGCTCCTCCCATAAATTTTCCATCTGAAAGGAAAACTCCTATAAATGCATATTCAATAAGGTCAGGCGCAACAATAATTTAAAAAATAAGCGATCATTTATCACTGCGCGTCTTTAGTAAATCCTGACAGCACTATTTTAACGCCAAAAGACGTTAAAGTGAGTAAATCTGGCCCTTTGTCTTTAAACACTTTGGTAAACAAAACTTTGGGACCATTATTGCAAATGTGGTATTTATACACTGGTTGGCAGTTCACAAAAGGGTTGATTTATTAGTTTATAAAGCTTTTCATAGTGTGGCACCTACATATATTACTGACTCTCTGTTAAAGTGTGTTCCAGATCACAGTCTAAGATCTTCTCATGCTGTGTTTTTGGCACACTACACAGTAAACCTAAAGCAATCTGGTGGTGCTTCTCAGTCATTCTGCCCCAAAGTGTTTGGAATTGAGGCTCCTAGCTTTCATGTTTCTGAAAGATGAGTTAAAACACGTTTTTAAAGTTGCATATGAGTCTGAATTGATTTAGTGTTCAGGATTAATTCAGTTGATATTCAGAACTTAAGGCAGTTTCTTAGTTTAATTTATATTATTGACCGTGCAATTTCACACAATATCAATGTGTTTTCTTTTCTGCGCCCCTGAGAAGCAGTCCATGTATGAAAAGTGCTATATTAAAAAAAATGATGATTATTATTATTAGAAAAAAATATTATATTTCATTAAGAACTTACTACTATTGTTGTAACAATTGTGAAAAGTAAAAAGTTTAATTAAAAATGCACATGAATTTCTTGATATTTGGTACTCAGTTTGTTAATGCAATAAATTTGCTTGTTTTATTTCCATTTTAATTATTTGATTAGGGACCTAAAGTGATGCAATTTTTAATTATCTTTAGTGCAGTCTTCAACATTTTTGTTTGATTTTTTTAAAGAATATTTTTATTTCCAGGTTTAAGTTATATTCTGAACGCCCACTTTTTTTTCAGATTTTTGGGAATATTTGAACTCTACATTTTTATGGTGATTAATTGGACTATGTTATTGCTCTATGTGTCCCGTCTCCACCAGGTGAGATTACCGGATGTGGAGTTTTATATTAACGTAGGAGACTGGCCGATGGAGAACCGGAAGGCGGGAGACAAACCCGGCCCGGTGCCCATCATCTCGTGGTGCGGCTCCACGGACACGCGTGACATCATCCTCCCCACGTATGACATCACACACTCGTGTCTAGAGGCCATGAGAGGCGTCACCAGTGACCTGCTGTCGGTGCAGGGGAACACAGGTGCGCATCTGTACATCACTGTCCAGTGGGGAGCGAACCATATCATCATATTGTGATATAAAAAATAAAAAAAAAGACAAATGAAGAATTGGTAAAAAAAATGAAATTTTTGTACATTTTAAAGTTAAATTATTCTATCTAGTGCACTTTGAGAGTTTAAAGTTAAGAGCTGCAACCCATGTTCTGAACTAAGATTAAGTCAGAGAAAAGTCAGTGAATTGACTCGTACCTGAACTTTAAAGGGGACTCAACCCTCTTAATATTTATGATATACTGTCTCAGTCCAAATTACACTCACACTGGTGTTTGAGGAAGCCAAACAAATTAGAATATAATAACAGCAACACCAACAATCACAGTAATAGCCATATATTGTAAAACAATTGCACTGTAAAATAACTGAAAATGAATACTTCATAGTTATATTATTTTTGCTTTACACTACAGCAGGGAAATTACAATACTTCTTTCCTAATTTCTACACTTGAAAGAGATATTTTGAATTTGGGCTGCATTTAAACCGCTAGCTTAATATATTGCACTTTAACGCTTTTATTTTGAAGGAAAACTCCAGCTTCAGTGAAAACATGCTTACAAATACTAAATACTACAAATCTAGTGAAACTCCGTAATCATCTGCCACGAAAATAAAGCTTAACTGATTGCCGTTGCGTTCCCAAACACGTGCTAAACTCACAGCACATGCAATAAACGAGTTAACTGCATTCATTCAGTGTGAACGAGTCGTTCTGAGACGCGGAAAACACCGGATCACGAGCTGATCGTCTGAACCAAGTGTGCGCTTCACTTTAAAACACGCAGCAAAAACAGACTTGATGAAGGGATTAAGCATATTGTGCTTTCGGTTTGAGTTCGTTTGACAGATAATGTGCGCCAAAGCATAATGGCCCAAAACAAATATATTTTAATAATCCCTCATCCGTCCCTCCCGAACCTATAACAAAAGTGTCCCTCGCGGGTCAAAAATGACACTAATTTTATTTTTGGTCCAGAAAGCTTATATTGGAACATTTTTATAATTTTTTTTCAAATTTTTTATGTAGGTTTTTCTATCATTTTTTGGTGATTTTTATTAAATTTACCTTTTATTCTGGATATTCTTAACATTATTTCATTATTTCAAAAAAAAAAAAAAAAGTAAGACAATTTCAGTCCTGTTTCATCAAAAACCAACAGATGGCCTTGGAATTGAGTCACTGAGTGTCTCTGATGCCATCTGGTGGATAAAAATTACATAAAATGGCATTTTATGGTTACAGCCACTAGAGGGGCCTATAGAACCCTATGGAGATTTTTAACTGAGCAAAACAAGTGAAACATGAGAAATTAGATAATCTTAAGGCTTCAGTTTGGTTGTTTATGGATTAAAATATATATTGAAACATTACAAAATCCATATTTTGTAAAAAAAAAAAAAAAATCTAACTGAATTATAACCTAAACGTATGTATATTCATACAATTTCATAAATATGAAATAAATATATATTTTAAAAAATATAATATGATATAAACTCATTGGTCTCCACCACATCACTCAAATCTAACCGTGTTAAGTAAAAAAAAATACGGAAAAATGACAGTCATATCCCAGCAGAAACATGAAACATATTATAATGTGTTCTATGAGAGTGTGTGTACCATGTGTGTGTTTGTGCATGTGTGTGTATGTGAGTTTTTTCTGCATTGGGGATATTCTGTGGTCTCAGCCCTTCGTTTGGGTATAAATCTTTACTGGATTGTCTCAGATTTTGTATATAAAAAAAAAATCAAATGTAATGAAAAATGCCGTTTTCTTGTAAATTCCATTCATTCCTATGCGGGTCAAAATGACTTTTCACTTTTGTTACTTTTTTTATTGCACCCATTTAAACTCCTCGAATCCACTCAAAAAATTGTTTGTGTATTCCCGGTGCAAGTGTGACAGAAGTAAAGAAATCTTGGACCGGTACGATCAACACACGATTTTTTGAATTTTTTTGAAAATAATTTTCGGGTCAAAATGACCCGAGGGACGGATGACGGTTTTAAAAACTACACTTTTTGCCCGGAAGACCTATCGTTTCATATCGTCATGTGACCACGATAATATCGAGACAGTTTTGCTATTGTGATACTGATAATACCGTCATCGCTAGCGTCCAGCATCAGCTGTCTCACTCTCTGGATCTTCTCTGGTTCTCCAGGTCCTGTGTGGTCAGATAAAACGGAGAAGGCGTTCTTCAGAGGCCGGGACAGTCGAGAGGAGCGCCTGCGTCTGGTAACAATGTCCAAAGAAAATCCAGAGCTGCTCGACGCGGGAATAACTGCATATTTCTTCTTTCGCGACCGGGAGAAGGATCTAGGAAAAGCACCGCTGGTGGGATTCTTTGACTTCTTTAAGGTAAGAGATGCAGTGGAAAAGCTGCCGGAAACTGACATTTTTCTCTACTTAATAAAAAAAACTAGGACTGTCAGTCGATTAAAATGTTTAATATAATTAATTACATGATGTGTTGATTAAGTAAATCTAACTAAATTTGTCTGTGAAATTACCCACAAAATATAATTTAAAGCCATTATTGTGCTAAATGAGAAAGTACACTGAAATTAATAATTAATTGAATTTACTAAATTTCTTTAAGGTAAGTGGTTGCAATCAATTTATTTTAGCTACATTTAAATAAACAAATTTAGTTGACTAACTTTCAACATATTTTTTAAATTAAATGTAGCTAAAATAAATTGTTTGCAACCACTTACCTTAAAAAAATTAGTATAATTTTTTCAGTGTATCAAGTAGACATTACAAATAGTAGCTTTAAAATAAATATTTTATTTGATTCAACATGAAATGCATTACACAAATGTTTAGGCATAAGCTATGGAACATAAAAAGATGATTTGAGAAAAATCTCAGTATTTTTTGTTCATACAGTGACAGTCACTGATATCCAAAACAGCTTAGTTATAAACAAAATATCTTCTTTTATGTTGTGCAAAAGTCATACAGGTTTGAAATGACATTACAAGGGTAATTGATGACAGAATTACATTTTTTTGGGTGAACTACCCCTTTAATATTTGTTTGTTTCTGAAATGAAATGATATTTTAAATAAGAAACTAAAACTAAAAGCGTTTTTGAGTCATTCATTCATTCGATTCGTTCAAACGACTGATTCATTCAGGAATTAAGTAAACTGCTCTCTCTTTGAATCATTGATTCACACGATTCGTTCAAAATGCGGATTCATTCAGAAACTAAACACCGCTGTGTCGCTCGGAGATGTGCAACAAATCTGCTGTGGCTTTAAAGGTAATATGTGACCCTGCAGCACAAAAGCAGTGTTAAGTCGCTGGGGTATATTTGTAGCAATAGCCAACAATACATTGTATGGGTCAAAATTATAAATTTTTCTTTTATGCCAAAAATCATTAGGATATTAAGTAAAGATCATGTTCCTTGAAGACATTTTGTACATTTCCTACCGTAAATATATAAAAACTTAATTTTTGATTAGTAATATGCATTGCTAAGAACTTCATTTGAACAACTTTAAAGATGATTTTCTCAATATTTAGATTTTTTTGCACCCTCAGATTCCAGATTTTCAAATAGTTGTGTCTCAGACAAATATTGTCCGATCCTAACAAACCATACATCAATGGAAAGCTATTTATTCAGCTTTCAGATGATGCATAAATCTCAATTTCGAAAAATTGACGCTTATGACTGGTTTTGTGCTCCAGGGTCCACATATGTTCTGTGCAAAATTGAGCAAAAACACAATATTGTGTTTAAAATATTACACAATATTAACTTCTTATTTACTGAACTGTTGTATAAAATCACATTTGCACTCATGCTATTCGGGACAGAAACAGAACTTATCATATAATATAAATACGAGACAAAAACTCATACAGGGGCATTTTTTGCCACAATATCTTGAATTTCAGGGCATAACTGCATTTATGGATGCATCACATTTGTCAACAGTCAACTGTATGAAATGTAAGATGATGTACAGGTCTGGGGGCGGAGCCAGTGCGTTAACTGCGTTATTGTTTCATAACAAATGAATTAACGCGTTGAACTGACAGCCCTAAAAATGCTTTGTTCTTGTCTTCCAGTACAAGTACCAGGTGAACGTGGACGGGACGGTAGCGGCCTACAGGTTTCCGTACCTGATGCTGGGGGACAGCTTGGTCTTCAAGCAGGACTCGCCGTACTACGAGCACTTTTACACGCATCTGGAAGCAGGTGTGCACTACATCCCTGTGAAGAGAGACCTGTCTGACCTCCTCCAGAAGATCCGATGGGCTCAGGTACGAACGCTGACATCATGTGCATCTTACAGTGGCAACATTGCAAAAGCTGTGTATTGTTTTGTGAGCACACACACACACACACTTGTGGTTTGATATATGCAGAAGAATGACACAAAAGCAGAGGCTATAGCGAAGAGCGGACAGTCGCTGGTGAGAGATGTGCTTCAGCCTCACAGACTCTACTGCTATTACTACAGCGTACTTCAGGTAAGAGCCTGTCATTTATATACACACACACACACACACACACACACACACGCGCACACTAGCGGTCAAAAGTGTGGGATCAGTAAGACTTGTAATGTTGTTAAAGAAGTCTCTTCTGCTCATCAAGCATCAAAAAACAGTAATCTTGCAAAATGTTATTACAATATAAAATAATGGTTTCTATTTTAATATCCTTTAAAATATAATTTATTTCTGTGATGCAAAGCTGAATTTCCATCAGCATCATTACGCCAGTATAAAGTCACATGATCTTCAGAAATCATTCTAATATGCTGATTTATTATCAGTTGTGCTGCCAAATATTTTTTTTTGAAACTGCGATGCTTTTTTCAGGGTTCTTTGATGAATAAAAAGTTAAAAAGAACAGCATTTATTCATCAAAGAATCCTGAAAAAAGTATTGCAGTTTCCAAAAAAATCTTTGGGTCAAATATGGACTAACCCAACTTTTGGGTTACATTTTGAATGTAAAAATGTAACCCAAAAGTTGGGTTAGTCCATATTTGACCCAAAGTTGTGTTGAAACAACCCAGCATTTTTTAGAGGTTAAACTTAAATTACTATTTATTTTTAAATATAATAATATACAGTAAATATAAAACAATAAGCACTCAACTTAAAAAAAAAAAGTATGCAAACATGTAAATTGCACATAATGCAATTTTTAAATTAACTTCTAAATCATAACATTTCTATTTGTTGTTGAAATATAGGCCTATTCATTTACGCATTGGCTGTCATAACTTGTTTCATAACAGATTTATTTAAACATACATTAAATATAACAGGTATACAGGTAATAACAGGTAAAATATGATGAGTATATAGTCTAATATTTCACGAAATTTGAACGTTTGAGCTGAGGCGTTTATACAGCGATCTTCAAAGAGCGTCAAAACATTTATTATTTGAATTTCATGAAAAAAAATTTAACATCATTTGAAAGATGAGACTTCTTGTCAAAAGTAACAATATATAAAACTGGACATTTCCAGTATGTGTATATATTA